ATATATACTGTATATATATATATAACAGTAAATAAGAACAAGCTTATAATAAACTTAAATCTGAACATGTTATCCTGGAAATAAGCCATGTACAGTACCAAAATATTGCAACAGGCACCTGCCTACTGTATTAACTCCATAAACTGGATTGTTTTATGAGCCAAGGCCAAAGATGCTTAATAAGCACTGCTTATAATAAATGGACGTGGCAACACTTTGCAAAGCAACCTACCAAACATAAAACACTACGGCTCTGTCAACTTTAGTTTAATTAAAATCACCAAGCATAACTGTCACAGATTGCGTAAGCTAAGTATAAGCACACAATGAAGACGAATAGTTCAATACACAGTCTTTAATAAATCAAAAACAGCAAAGCAAAAGCATATTCATATTAATAACCGGCAACAAAGAGCACTAATTGGGGAAAAATTTATACCAACGCAAGAGAAGAACTAATGACAGGTGAACTGACTAAGGCAATCGAGGACTGCACACAGGAAACTAGGTCAAAGGAACTAATTAAGGCAGGAGAACAGAAACAGAAGGAAACACAAACAAAAGACCATGACCGTGACAATAACGAGTTACTTTGGTCAAAAAAGCAGAATACAAAACATGTGAGATGGCAAAATGGTGCAATGGTAACAACGGTGTCAGCCATTGAATTTCAAATGTACACACACACAAAACATTTAGGGTATTCACTACCGTATTTAAATGCAGTTGTCACACCTGAAACTTTACAGTGTGTATGTGCCCATTGGGCCTCATTCTTTACATTTTTTTTCAAATATATGTGTAAATAATATGAGTAATTTCCCCGTAAAATGGACCTTCCCGAAAACTCTCCTCCAGATTAAACATCATAAACCTCAGATTTCATAGTTAAACTTGTGTATGTTAATGAATTCCAGTCATTTGTAAATAGACCACCCACATGAAAAAATACTATAGTAATTTATAGTAAATACTGTAGTGTTTTTGAACCATACTATAGTAAAGTGTATTATGCTGTATATATTATAGTATTTACAACACTTTTTAATGAATGCTACAGCATACTGTAGTATTAACTATAGTGAACTGATAAACTGTAATAAATATTGTATTATACTTTAGTTTTTACTACAGTAAACTGTAGTGTATTGTAGTATAATATAAAATATAAACTTAGTACAGTATTGGGTAAAGTAATTTGTTTATATTACTATAGTTGTTATATTACCACAGCAACTATAGAATTACCACAACAAATTAATTCAAGTACTTTACTATAGTATAGTTCAAAAACACTATAGTATTTACTATAAATTACTATAGAATTTTTTCATGCATGCATTCACAATTAGCATAATTCCCACCCATGAATTACAACTATGTGACTAGTTAACTATGTGAAGGAGTGAAACCATTTAATCTTTCAATTAACTGCCAGAAAACACATAGGCAGTGCTCAACTTGCTCCAGCATCAGCAGTTTCAACATCCCTTCATCACCCCAACTCCACCAACTAATTTAAGTTTCTTGCCATTAATACTTTCTTCCACACACTGGTAGACCCTGAGGGTTTATCAGAGCTCGAGTTACAGCCACATCCTCAAGCTCCTTGGACAGCAAGCCAAATAAGCTTAACCTCAATATCTTAAAGATTACCTAGCTCAGCTGTATCGACAAACAAACTTTATGCACCATTTACCTTTTTTTTTGTGTACTGACTGACGTTTTGAAAATACGAAGACTTTCATAAATCCAAAAATTGACGTCAGAACAGCTATGATTTACACACACACATCTTTCTGCTTTTGTTTCATGAATGAGGCCGTTGAGTGAAAACAGTATCATATCCTCATGTGATGAAGCGGGTTGTTAAAAAAAGTGGGAGATAAACTTTTGAGATGGTAAAGAGATCTTGTTATTCTTTCTTCTGGGTATATATATACCTTATGTGAAAATCAATGTATTATTTAGGGCATTGTGTTCTCGAGAGTTAAAATACCTGTAAAGTTTGTCTTGGTTAGAGTTCTGAGAGCCGTTCGACTTCATTGCAGCAGAAACAGTCTATGAAACAGATGAATAGAAATTGTATGATCCTGTAACATGAATTAATATATTTTGCTTAGAAACATCATATCAGATGTGTGTTTGTTTTTGTGTTCATCTCATGGCATACTTTTTGTGGGGTGTATGCTGGAGGGAGTGGCCGGTTCTGGGCAGGATCCTGAGCACTGGATGGGGGATCAGAATTCACTGGAGGGTTAGAGGTGAGCAGAACAGGATAGCGACCCAGAGGAAAGGCTGAATTTTCCAGATCAGCAAGAAGGGCATCTACAAAGAGTTATAGAGAAACATCATGGAAAAGTTATAAGGCAAGTCTCAGAGGGGCTTTTTTTCTTTTTAATTATTAACTTTTTTTTTTTTTGAGAGAGAGAGAGAGAGAGAGTTTATAAAGACAGTAAGTCTATTGGCAGGTCTAAGTGTGTAAGTCTAAATCTCTTGATTTTCATCTTGTTTGTACATTAATTTTTGACAGGTGCCGTGTTCTTTGAAATGCCATTGTTGTACCCTATTGTCTACACTTGTTGATGATGGCCTTCATGGTATGCCATGGCACATCTATGGTGGCCGAGAGAGCTCAACACTCTGCAAATGAAAAAACACCTGCAAATTAAGAAAACATCTTCATCAATTTTACAGCACACGTGCTGCAAATTCTCACAACACAACCTAATGCAGAAAGGCGCTGCAAATTCTCACAACACAAACAAAAACAGTACGCAAATGTAGAATGCAGAATCCTGCTTGTTGTGGTCTATTTGCGTGTTTCTGTATTTGCAGCGCGTTTCTGTATTTGGTTGTGTTGTGAGAATTTGCAGTGCGTTTCTGTATTTGGTTGTGTTGTGAGTATTTGCAGCGCATTTCTGCATTAGGTTGTGTTGTCAAATTGATGAAGATGGTTTCTTAATTTGCAGGTGTTTTTTTCTATTTGCATGAGTTTTTTTCACTTGCAGCGCATTGAGCTCTCTCCGCCACCGTACACATCTCATGCTTTATACCAGTGGTTTTCAAACCTGTCCATGAAGTACCCACAGCCCTGCACATTTTGTATGTCTCCCTGTATCTGAAACACCCACTTCAGGTCTTGCAGTCTCCACTAATGAGCTGATGAGTTGAATCAAGTGTGATAGATGAGGGAGACATACAAAATGTGCAGGGCTGGGGGTACTCCAGGACAGGTTTGAGAACCACTGCTTTTATACCATAGGTAAGGAAGGGGTGGCCAACGTCGGTCCTGGAGAGCCACAGTCATGCAGAGTTTTGCTTCAACCTTGATTAAAACTCACCTGCCTGTTGCTTTCTAGTAGACCCTAGACCTTGATTAACATGTTCAGGTGTGTTTGATTAGGGTTGGAGATTGAACTCTACAGGACTGTGGCTCTCCAGGACTGATGTAGCTAACTCACCTGCCTGTAGCTTTCTAGCAATGCTGGGTACACACTAAACGATTTTTAAAATCTTATAAGATCTTCAAAATGTGAGACCACAAACATGAGAAAAAAAAATCCTAGATTTAACCGTTTTGCTCCTATAGTGTGTGGTGTTTTCGGGGTTCCCCCCCACACATCAGGATTTCTAATTCGCGATAGGGGCACCTCCGACGTTCTTCCGAGCAGACTCAGGCCCCATCCACACGGAGACGCGTATAGCTGTATACGCATACATTTTGTATCGTATAGGCGTTTCGTCCACACAGATCCGGCGTTTTGGGAGAGTGAAACCGATATTTTTATAATATATTTAAGCAAAACTCTGCAGGGCTGCGGCTCTCGAGGACCGATGTTCGCCACACGTTTTCAGGGGTGCAACTGCACATTTGCCGAGGGGTATGCAAGATCAGTGTCAGCGCCCTCCTGTATTCTAGTAGCCTCTAACACTAAATCGTGCAGAAAACTTTCTGCAAGTCAATGACCAAAAGCCCATTACTAGCCTGTGCATGGAAGAATACAAACTCATCAGGAGTGAAAAAAGTGACAAAGGTTTGAACTCCCTTCCCTCTTTTTTAATACCATATGGAAAAAAGTGAAAAGTAAAAAAAAGAACAAAAAAGAAAAGAAAAGTGTGTCACATAACATCCCCTTTAACTCCTGATGGCAGACCCCAGACAGTAGAACACATGTTTTTATTCATTTTTACTTTCAAACACATGTACTATTGCACAATTTTTAGTTAGGTAATTTGAATATATATTTTTTTTATTTGCCTCAAAATTATTAATATCTTTGCACATTTTTATATAGTAAAATTAAAATTTTAAAGAACATCTGCATTTTTATTTATTTTTTTATTTTTTCATTTTTACTTAAAGAGATAATTCATGGAAAATTTGCCATGCTAAGTGGAAGATTTCTGTTAAGATTTCACCTGGTAGAAAAACAAATACTATTAAAATGAATGTCATGATTCCCACTATGACCACTAAATGGCAGCAGAGGATCATTTATTGTCTCCTTTACCATTTCCACTGTTATATAGTTATTTTCTTTTCACATGTTTTGCAAATGGATTTATAATTAGACATTATAAAATCACTATTATAACATTTAAAAATCTCTTTTTGTCAAAGTTCAGCATTGTTTTGTATTGAAGTATGAAGTAGGGTTTTCAACTCATTGAATCTTGAATTACACAGATGGCCTATTTTGAATTTACAATGGCAATTTTCAGTGAAAAGTGGCTAGTTTGTATCCTTGTTTACAATCTTAGTTTCTCTCAAATGTAAATCAAATGCCCATTCACAAACATGTGTTTCCACCATTGCACCATTGCTTGTTCTCCATCATTGCATAGGCCCACTCATGGATGAGACAAGCAGATAACTATAGTCAACCTTCACTGAATTTTATATAATCAATGAACTCTGAAAAAGTTATCAGTCAGTGTTTAACATTCTATTAGTTGTCAAAATGAATTCATTGCAGCACTTTTGTCATACCTAAATCGAGCTCTGTACAAAGGAAAATAATGTAAGAATGTAAAATAATTTTTTTTCATGCATTTAAATATGGTTTCATTTTCTTTTCATTTTCGTACTTTACAAATGAACGAAAAATTTTCACATATTTTCTAGTACATTTAACTGCACTGTGCTCACATTTGGCCTACTTGTGCATTACATTTTAAATTTTAAAAAAATTACATAGCCTGTCATCTTGCGCCCTATTGTGATCTCGAATTGCAGAATATTTCAGTAGGCTGCATGCATTTGAGAGACGTTCTTAAATGTAATACACATACATGCATGCACAGTTTTGCAGTTTTAATCACCATTTTGGTAATTGCGTGACTTAACTGAAGATGTATGCTTGCAGTTTCTAGTGCGGTTTATTTATGAAGTGAGCGTGCGCCTCATTTTCGAGTACAGTTAAAGCCTCATTTTCGCTTACAGTTGAAGAGCGTGCGCCGTGAGCACAGTAAAACGGCTGACAGGACAGGAAAATTTTTTACTGACAATATCTCATCAGACCGCAGTTCCCTGTTGTTCTACTGAAACTCATTTGGCACATGTACCTTTTCCGCACTCATTTGACTCGTCTGAAAATTCTCCCGTTCCCTTTCGATGGAACTTCGAACTGCGTCCTCTAGGGGTCGCTATGGGGAACGCCTTCAGCGTGACCGGTGTCTGAAGCATACATCTAAAAACGACAATAACATTGGCCGGCGACAGCCTATGACATCATTACCCTGCGCGATCACAGTTTAAAAGGGCGCCGAGATAACACGTCATCCTCTTCTTCGTCTTCACTGACCGTTTGTTTATGTTAGCATTAAGCTAAGCACAACTAGGAGTGCATGTTCTCTTGCCAGAGGCTTTGCTCTGATACCCGCAGTTTCACATGGCTCGCGTGCTGTGTGTGTGTGGTGAAGAGCAAGCGTGTTCTGCTCTCGAGGGAGTTGGATGCGCTCTGCATTCATTGCTTATTTCTTGTGAGGGATAAGCATGAATTGAACGTGCTCGTCTCACGAGGAGACGGCTTGTGCTCATCGTGATACATTTGCGGGACTATTGAAGGGGAGTTGAGTACTGCACCATTTATCCGACTTTGTAGATAGCGTTTGCATGAGTGCGTTCGCCTCTCGCGGGAATGGCGACGCATTTGCGGCAGCAGTTTCTGTTCTCACTTGATTTCTGAGGTAATCTAGTGCTTGGGCGGAGCGTGTTTAGCTCCCGCGGGAGCTGAATGCATACTGCGCGTTGCGGTCGTGGTGAATTGCCGCGATTCGCAGTTGATGGGCAGAACATGGAAAGGACCTGACAGGTCCCTATCAGTAATTTCCTTTTGTTTATATAGCATTGGCCAATAAAGTGACACCTCGAGGCTGCCTTGATGAGCGTTTTTCTTTCTATCCATAGCCCTCCAGCTCAGATGAGCCTTCCATTCCTTCCCGATCTTCATGTGGAGAACGAGAAGGCTTGGAAAAATCCATTCTCGTCCCGTCCACAGATTCCAGCATACTAGTTATGCCAACATCGAGGGGATGCGTGAGAATGGTTATGAAAAGATGCCCCTTGTTGAAGAGACGCTGGCCTGCTATCTCTCTATGGGGGAGACATCTTTTCTTAAGGCTCCCTCCCTGCCGTCCAAACCCCTTCAGGATACATCTCGTTTGAATGGCAGGGCATACGCGGCAGCATGTCAGGCTACAGCCTCGTTGCACACCATGGCGGTGCTTCAGGCTTATCAGGCTGATCTTCTGAAAGACCTGGAAAAAGGCCAGGGTCTATCCCCTGATGAGGTGGCTGAGTTGCATCGCACCACGGATCTTGCTCTCTGTGCCACTAAGCAGGCTGCCACTGCCATGGGCAGATCCATGGCGGCCATGGTGGTTATGGAGAGACATCTGTGGGTGAGTCTGGTGGATATCGGGTCAAAAGAGAAGGGCTTTCTTCTTGATGCGCCAGATTCCCCTTCTGTGCTTTTCAGAACATCCGTCGAGACGGTGGTCGAGAAGTTTAAGGAGGCCAAGACGCGCTCGGCTGCCTTTAAATTCTTCATTTCACGAAGGTCCAGGTCTGAGCCCGAACATCAAAGGGGTCCTGGCCCGTCTCAATCTAAGGATCAAAGGCGGGCTCAGAAGACTAGAGTTGTGTATTCGATGCTAGCCTTTCTCTGCAGTGCTACTCGGACCTGTTCTGTTTTCTGACTTTTAGGTTTGACCCATCTGCTAAGTCAGGACCTCCTGCTGTTGACCGACACACTGTCTCTTATTGGGCCCTGCTGGGTTACCCCTTCTAATCTAGAGCCCCCTTCTGGTCGAACTGAGAAGTGCTCCCCTCTTTGTGAGGGTTAGCTATTAGTCGCTCCCAGTATGTGCTGTAAGGGCCCTCCTCAGCTTGAGAGCTGAGAGCGCTGCTCCCGAAGAACCCCTTTGATTTGTTTCCTAAAAAGAAGAAAAATAAAGACTGACATCTTTATTTAACCTAAATCCGTAATTACACTTAATTTTAGTTATATAATTCAGATATATAGCATTTATATAATTTCATATTATTTAGTTATATAATTTCATATGCATAATTTGATTTAATAATAACCCAATTTGAAGCAAATACAGAATGTTCTGACTAGCTTTGTGAAATTATAGTGTAAGTTCCAGGGGCAGCTCCTTAAGTTCGGCCATCCTACACACGCGTGACTGACCACTCGCTTGCACCAACAGGAGGAGGAGGGTCATGTTACTCTCTACACTGCACTCAACCTGAAGGATTCCTACACTTTCAGTCTTTGGGGAGACATAAAAAACAACGCATACCGCAGGAACGGTATAACGGAAAATATTTGCGGTTTTGAAACCGTGAAATTTTCAAATCGCGGTATACCTTGAAACCAGTAATCGGCCCATGCCTAGTTGGGACCCTGTTGTTCCCTTTGTGTGATCAATGTGTGATCCCCTTCTAGCAGGCTTCCATTTCTGATGTCCCATTTGTGATCTATCTGCCCTCTCTCTCCGAGTCCTCCACTCGTTTGAGCTCAGGTTGTTAGGCCTCTCTCCGCCTTCCTCTTGAGCCGCTCTCCTTGGGGTCAAGCTTAGCAATGCCCTTGGGGGTTCATATGAGCATGCCCCTCTCGATCTGAGCGTCGAGTCTCTCTTCTATTTTTGAAGTTGTGCCTCCGCTCTTTTGAGCTCCGTATAGCAATCATGCCAGGCGGGTTGCTTGTTAAGTCAGCCAGCTGTGCTCCCCTCATCATGAAGGGCCTCTTGCAAGCGCACTGCTACCTTCTGGTTCTAAAATCCTGTATGGTAAGGGTTACGTGCTGTCAGCCTCGTTTCCTTTCTCTGAGTTGGCTTAGGCCGAAGAAGTGGATGACGTGTTATCCCGGCGCCCTTTTATACTGTGATCATGCAGGGTAATGACTTCATAGGCTGTTGCTGGCCAATGTTATTGTTGTTTTTAGGCATTCCCCATAGCGACCCCTAGAGGACGCAGTGTCTCATTCCCTTGTCAGGGAACCATGGTTACATACGTAACCTGAGACGTTTGTTGTGGTCGCAAAGAGATACGGCCATTCCGCATCTTAATAAGTTTTTAATAAATAAATTTTTTAACTCATTCAAATGCTAAAAACCATTAAATAAAAATGTTGCATTAATTATTTTTAATAACTAAGCTTTTGATTATTTATAACGTTTTATTAAAGAAGATTTTCACAGAATGATTTTGGCAAAATGGCGCCCCCTATGTGGCGCCACTATGCACTGCATATACTGCATACCCCATTTTTGCGCCACTGCCTGCTCTACACAATGAGATCCCAACTCATCCTTTATAAGCTCTTTTTTATTGGGGTTTAATTATAATCACTTAATTTATGACTGGAGGATTATAATAACCTTTCAGAAAGAGTTTATGACCAATGTTAATTCCAAACAAAGTACCATGTTTTATTATAAAAGGGTGTGCACATTTACTTTTATTTATTTATTTATTTTTCCTTTTTTCTCTCTTAAAAGTTTTTATTTGTTTTTTACATGAATTTTCAATATTACATTATAGGTAGAAAAAGATCCGACATGATTTTAATTAGATCTTTTTTTTACATCTAAAAAAGCTGCAGTTTTAGTTTATGTAGTGAATTCTAGTGTATGCTCCCTCCCACCAGCTATGGTCACTGAATGAGTGATGCCTTGATGTTTCTTCACAACAAGGCACAACGACTCTCCCCAAAATCTTGACCACCTCTCTTGCCCTTCAGTGGAATGAGCTGCCAGACTCAATCTGAATTGAGTCTATCACAACTTTTAAGATACATTAAGAAGTACTTAACCACTTCATACGCACCCACCCATAATGCACTTATACACACCCACACATGTTGCGTTTCCATGTTTTTTTGGGGGACATTCCATAGACGTAATGGTTTTTATACTGTACAAACTGTATTTTCTATCCTCTAACACTTCCCCTACCACAAACATCACACAAAACTTTCTGCATTTTTAGATTTTCAAAAAACAAAAACAAAATTCCCCACAAGGTCAAAATTTACTGGTATTACTAACCTTGTGGGGACATTTGGTCCCCATAACGTAGAGAACACCAGGTACACACATACATGCACACACAGAAAACCTCTTCTACATTTCTCCTCTGCTCTAGCTTGTGTCTTAATAGCTTTCTAATAAACCTGACATCGTAAACTATGAGTATTTTTGTTTTTGTGGCAAATTGCTTTTGAACATGTATTCATATACATGTATACATGTAGTCGCTTTGGATAAAAGTGCCTACTAAATTCATTAATGTTAATGTAAATTATCCAAAATATGGCAATGCATCTGGTCTTCAATCAACAAAAGGATTCTCAGATTACATCTCTCTTGATCTCAGTCCACTGGCTTCCTGTAGCCACCAGCAACAAATTTAAGACTTTGGCGTTGGCTTTCAAGACTGCCACTGAAACTACACCCTCATACTTCATTACTTCAAATTTATGTTCCTTCCTGCCAGTTATCAGTGAATAAGTGCCTGATTGTTCATTTTCTTCTTTTCTGATTTTCACCTCTGTTGTTCTGATGATGATCCTTAATGATTGGCACGTATCTTAATAATTTTTTAACGGCTTTATGAGCACATTATAAAAGGGTCTGATTATGCCTTTTTAAATTTGTTAAAACTATCTATTTTATATCAGTAAGCACTGTTTCTGAACTTTGTTTTTGAACAAAACATTGATTGCTTCATATTAAAAAGCAAACCAAATATTTTTGGGGCCACTGCAATGCTAATAACAGGGCCAAAAACATTAAGAACCCAGAAAAGTGCAACTATAGCACCACCGTAGTTATTTTAGGAACAGTAGTTTAATGGCTATTAGTACAATTAGTTATTATTGGATAACTTTTGACCAATAGGTCACAGGACATTGTTGCAAGACACATGTAATGCCAATTTGCATGCATTACAGCTTCATTTCCTATTTGGCATCTCTTCTATCAATTTCATGAGTGTTGAAAACTAAAAACAGAAAAATGTGTCAAAAACAGAAAAATGTTAAAAAACATTAAAGGGGTCCTATTATGCTCTTTTACAAAGTCTTGATTTTGTTTTGGGGGTGTATTAGAACAGGCTCTCATACTAGGTTGTTCGAAAAACATTATTTTTCACATATTTTACATTATTACAACACCTCTCTCCCCAGTCTGGCATGAACGGCTCGAATAGTTCCTGTATCAAATGAAGGCCCGCTTCTGAAATACGAAATGTGCTGTGATTGGTTAGCTGGGCCAGTGAGTGTTGTGATTGGCACCACTCGGCGCCTGGTCGGGAAATGTCATGCCCCTTACCATAGCCGCCTGCCAGCTTTAGTGTAAATATTGCGTCAAAATCAAATCAATTTGAGCACGATTTAAACCCGGATGGTTGTAATCACTCTAAGTTCGTCTGCCTTGGGAAAGCTAGCGTGTCTCCGACATAGTGATAACACTCGTTGCCTTCTCTAGTGCAGCTCAACCAGGTCTCGTCCCATTCGTCGATATTTGTGATATCACAAATACCGGAAAATATGCACTGTAGTCCAAATGAGTCGTTCTTTGTAGTTTTTGAAAAGTGATTTCTGTTAAATAAAATATCTCCTTTTGAAGTGGACTTTGAGCTTTGTAACATCGCAGATCTTTTTTATGCTCAAACAGCAACATTACAGACTAACTAAAGTTGAAAAAGTGAAAAAGCATAATAGGACCCCTTTAAAAGATAAAAAACAAATATAAGTTTTATTGAAGCGTTTAACTTAAATTCCATACAAAGTGAAAGCAAGCAGAAGGAAAGATGATACAGATCATTAGAGAGCAGCATCTACAACTTTTAAAGGCAGACTTTGGCTGTCATTTCAGTCAGATTAAAACAATAATTTGTCTTTTTTCAAATGTAAACACTTGTCGGACTAAAATCAAAATAGTTGAAAATGGAAGGTCAGTTCCAGAGCTGTGCCAACCATGTATTTCATGCATACAGAAAAGTCATATAATGCGTATCAGTTGTATCATGCTTGAATGGTGTTTCAGTGTACTATAGTGTTGCAGTAACAAAACATGCAAAGCAAAATGTTGTAAATGTGTTACATTCAAATAAAACTAGGCCAAAGTTGAGATTTATTTAGATAAAAGAAGCAAAATAATTACTAGGGCATATCAGTCAAAAACACTGAGCATACTCATCAACTGGTGGACAAACAGACAGACAGAAAACTACGTACCAAACATAACAATACGGGGACTGAGAGGGTAGTTGGATGTATCACACACTCCTGAAGAGAGACAGACAGACACACTGACACACATCAGCTAGCCAATCAAAAACTACAACCAACAGCCTGTTTGTACATTACAGAGGCGGAAAAACTGAAGTGTGTCCAGTGAGAGTGAATATGGGTGTGCAATGTCCTGCAATGCTCCAAAAATGGTGTTGTTATTTTCTTCCTGAAGCCAGCAAAATTCCTTCCACATACAAACCACAAAAAGGAAACCGTGGATGGGACATTGACAGCTATGTAAAGATGGACAGTGTTGGCCTGTTGATAGTGTGACATTGTTGTAGTTCAAAATATGTATAATTTATTTGTTGTTGTTATTATTATTATTATGTAAACTTGCCTTAAACTAATACCCCCAAGAACATTTCATTGCCCCCCTTTCAAAAATATTGCTTTCATCACCAGTGTTCTCTGAAAGCCCACTGTGCATAACTCTAACACCAATCGTGAATTTTATGTAATCACTGTATTTCTTAAAAAACATTTCCTCAATCTAAACTCACTTCATACTATTAGTACGCATTCAACACATGACCCAGAGACACTGAAGTCATAATTATATATAATGTAGTTTTGTACAAACTACAAATAAATACTATTAGTATAAAATATACTATGTACTAAATATACTATTACTACCTTAAACTACTAGTATTAATTCAGTACTCAACGCTGAGACACTAAAATTTTAAGTATATATAATACAGTGCTTTATTAAATGAAAATATTAAATACCTGGGGCACTTTTGTCACTTTATTTCTGACCCAACACTAAGGTCAATGGTAGCAACATTGGTGTTTTATAAACAAATGGCTACCAAATTGCTAGTTGTGCCCATGAATGTACATATGTAATAAACAAAACATATTACTAGATCGCCCCAGATGAACTTAGTCCATGTAGAAGTTATTTCATCACCCAGTTCAACAACACATCCTAATCCAGATGGTTTTTGCACTGTGCTCATATAAGGAGATAGAATTCTTCTCTCTAGAAATTCTAACCATATTTAGAGCTGCATGTCTGTTTGGTTTGGCTTAATTCTGCCACAAAGCAACCCACTCTACATTCATGCGGTATGCTCTGACAAATAACCTTCAAAAGCTCTGAAAACACACACACACACAAGAGTGGAAGTTATTTAACCCATAAATCAGTCAATAATATTATATTCAGCATTACAATTTAAATTTTCTGAGCACTTTTGTAGAAAAAAGTGCTATGTAGTGGCATCAGATGTCAATGATATGAAAATATACTATAGTATTAATAGTAGTAGTATAATTATTAACATACTCATGTATCATGATACTTAATTGTACTTTGAACAATACCAAATTATATACTGTCTATATAGGCTACATTTTGTTTACATCCAAATTTGAACAGATGAGGATTTCTGAGAATATAAAATATTTCCAATCCTCAGAATGAATTATCCAGCTTTGCGGTGGCCATTTTACAACAAGTTTGTCTACTGTGAAAGGGCGGGTTTTTCTTCATAGGATCCATTAAGTCTTTATATAGGCTAGTCCTTAAACGTTACCAGATGTGGGCAGATGTGGGATGACATTAGATGCCCACTCTCAGGACGTATTAAACATACGTGTCAATTGAAAACTGCCACAAAGAACTGATATATCAGTGGACATACCAATTATAGAATTATTTTGGACGGTGTGCGCCTGTTTTCAAACTGCAGCCAGGAGTTTGGCTCCGTCTCCATCTAACGTTAGGCTAGCTAATCTTGGTTTATCTAGAGTTTATCTAATGTTATGTGGATATATTTTCAATAATTTTCTAGCCGAAAAACGAAACGAGGCCCTTTCCCAATCTTTTCCCTGTCGCTATTAATCATTGCATTGCCCCATCCATATACATTGCAGTGATGTATTCAAGGAAAATGTAGGAAACGTGCCATAAAGAATTTGACATTACATACCTAAATCGTCCATCAGTTAAAGAAAAATAAAACTAAAGAAAAAAAAATAAAATTTGTATGACTTCCCGATGAAAGGAAAAGGGGTTATAGCTGAGAAATATGTCTGGTAATGTCTTTTTCCTGCTCGCCCCTAAGTTTCCAGGCTGGGAGTTGTCCTCGGACTGTGCCGTTTTCTTATTCCAGAGGACGTAACGGTTCGGAGGGGCGGAACTAGTTACATTTCCAGCCCATATTTGGGATTGAAAAGTGCGCATTTGTTGTTCATAATAATGTTGATACCGACTGCTGGGAAATTACAATAATAAATAAAGTACGTACTGCATGAAAAGATACTTTAATGCCTAAGAGGTAAAAAACAACAGGATGCGTCCTCAATAGATGTTGCTTGTTTTTACATGTACAACGAGTAGGCTAATTAGTGATCATCCAGTACAACGTTATTGTCTTAGTGTTATTTAACTCATAAAAGCTGATCTTAGCACAGTTGGCCTAATTAACTGGCTTACTTGCTAATAAAAAGGTAAGGACAGTAACATGTATTATGATATAAAAAAAAACTTTGGAAAAGAATGTAAATAACATGGACTTTCCACTTTTTGGGAAAAGGGGGAGGGGTCAGAAAAAAGGTGGATTTAGTACCATGATATAAATGTTAAAGAATTATGGTACCACCACAGTAGCCTACTAGTTTGTATGGTTACACTTCAATACTAAAACTACATTTATTTACCTCACTATAAAGCTGTTACATGCGCTAAGAAATATATCCCACTTCATAAAATACAATTAAATAATTAAATACAACATACAACACATACATGTTTTGGTCATGCTTTTAGTGTGCAGTCCTTCAAAGACCAAAGAACATCTAGCAGTTATGTAACAAAAGTTACATCAAAAGTGCGCACAGTGGTGAATGTTACTAACACAAGTGTTGTTACACAACCGCAAGTATGCTTTGGTCTGAATTTAAATGCAATGCAAGTACAAACTACCACAAACAGAATCAAGAAAAAAAAATGCAGAGGAGGTCTACAGGGAAAGATAAAACAAAAATGTTAAGCCATCTTCATCAAAAGACAACACGATAACAGGTTTACTGCACAAATTCATGTCAAAATGTTAAAACTGATACATGCAAATTTGCGTTTCAAACCTGTTCACCAAACCTGCTCGCCCCATGTGACATTTGTGCTATTAAACCCCAATTCTTTTTCTAATAAATGATGAAAGCAGTCTCTTTGAAGAAAAACATTTCCATTTTCAAATGTGTCAAATGTCATTTAGTCAAAGAAAAAAAGAAACATACAAACTGAGGCCAGTCAATTGAGAAGAAAATGTGTCAGTCCAGATAATAAAATAAACATAAATAACAATAATCTTATTCGTTAGTGATTCTCTGGACATTTATAACTGGCTTAGTTCAGTGGTTAGTGGAAGCCAGACTTCAAATGTTCATCTGCAGCACCTTTACATCATTGTATCAGTCCCCACCTAGCTCAGCTTTAGTAGTACTCCTGATACAATAGCCATTAGGGTGCAGCTAATTGCACTGACTGTTCATTGGCTGTACTGCCAGAGTCCTGTGGTTTCATAACATCAGGAAGTTCAGGAGGGCTGGAAAATGGTTCCACCTGCAGGGGCTCAAATGCATCATCTGTGGAAGGATGGTGGGGGAAAATAGAATTAGTGGGGTGTTTTTTTGTTGTTGTTGTTTGTTTGTTTTTCGTTTTTGTTTGTGTGTTTGTTTTTTAAGAATATATGAATACAGTTTACCAAAAAAAAAAAAAACCTTAGGATTCCTTCAATGAAGACTTTCATGTACAAATTAATGAATACAGTTTACAAAAAAAAAAAAAAAACCTTAGGATTCCTTCAATGAAGACTTTCATGTACAAATTTGAGCTCAATGTGAAAGGAAATATCTGTTCAACCATTAATTTGTATGAAATACTTTAACTCAAACATCACAATTGTACAACACAATTGTTAAAACACATCATATAGTAGTCTAGAGAAATTTCTTATTCTAATTAAGGCTGGTCACCCATTTTGACATCACATGGCCCGCTAAATACTACTCAATGCATCAAATCCCCATATACTTGCATTGAACAAGGGACCCAAGTCATATCTAGAAACCAATATATCTTGAGGGGGGTGGGCTCTTAGTTAGGTCAGTAAGCCACTAACCAACCACCTAGAATACCTTAGAAATAATTGCAATAAATGAGAAGGACATTTTAGCCACTGATATAATGATAATAAAATAGCATAATAAGTACACCCTTAAAAAAAACTGAATTTTTAAGACTATTAAGACATGGGAATGTCTAAAAAAATATATATTCTAAATAGATAAAACTAGGGATGTGCACGAGAACTTAAGTGTTTGGAAGTGACAGCAATGATAAATGATGAAAATGATAATCGTGTGACTCAAGAAAATAGTCTATATCAAAATATGCCAAATTATCGAGGTTATGTCCAGGTGTCATACAATCAATTGATAAAGTAATTATTGAGACCAGCCAAAAAACTTCTTATTTTTATCGTCATTTAAAAGAGATTGATGTTTGTTAAGATGGGGATCCATTATGAGCTTGTTCGGAAGTTTCGTAGTTTATGACACACACCGATACGAAAGGCCAGTCCTACAGTTGCAGGAGCCTGTGGTCTGGCTGTCTGATTTGTGAAGCCGCAGTCTCCTAGTGTCTTACTGTCTTCTAGAGGCTGCTCATCCTGAAACACATAATATCATAACTAATACAGAAAAACCTGTCATTTCAGTCACTCATACTTGAAGGTTAATATTAGTGTTAATAATAATATTATCGCATGCGACTGATCATGCAGCCCTAGTTAATATATATCATATCAATGAATCCAAACCTTGTATAGTCTCTGTTCCTCGGGGGACCTCTTCAGGATGCCCTCCACAATGCGTTTCAACTCATAGACGGTTGTGGATTCTTTGGCGTCAGTGAAGATTGTGGTTTTGTGATGCCTGATCATTAAGAATACATCCTAGACAATGGTGTGGAGATTAGTTAGTCAGTTTCCAACAAACATCATGCAGTGATTTGAGTAGTTGGACTATGCATTTAAGGCATGCATCTTTAAAAACTAATAATAATTTTTTTCTGCACCTACTGTAAACATTTTTAAAAGTGCAATGACCTGTATGTGGGGCCAGGCCTGTATATAGAAATTTCTTTTTTTTGATCCTGTGTGTCTGATTCCCCAACTGTGTCCACCATGAGTTCAAATCCACCTTTTTCTGATCCCTCTCCCTTTTTCCAAAAAGTGGAAATAAAGTTCCTTAAAAGCTATTTAAAAGACCTATAACTGCAATTTGATGTGTTGTTCTTGATCATTGATCAGATAGGCTGGAACAATGGCCGGGACACATGCAGCTCATATTGTTACTACATTCAGTTTGTTACGTGGCTCCTTTCCTGGACCTTTGAGGGACACCTTTACTGATCAGCAGATTCAATATGGTTAGGGGCAGGTGTAGAGGTGGGCTTTAGGGAAAGGGACAAGTAAGGTCCCAATAAGGCAGTATCAATTGCACAAGTATAAGCAGCATCTAAAACTATAATAAATAACTATAATAATTTTCGTCATAAAAAAGGAAAATAACGAACTAAAACTCTTTTTGAATGACAAAAACTATGATGTAAATCTAATGACATCGTCAACGAATAAAAACGAGACGAAAATGTTAGGGAGGGACGATTTGGGAAGAGATTCATTCAGAACGAATCTGCTGCGTGATTCTGAGGTTAGATGTGTACATATGAACCGGCGGGACATAAGCTAACATACACTTGCTGCACGTCGCATGAAACGTTCAAAAATGTCAATATGTGGGAGTAAGAGAAGAGCAGACATATGGATAAATCTGACGACGCAAGAGAAAACTCAAATTCGGTCCGGTTTTCTGAGCGCAGACACTGAAGCATACACACACAGAAAGCGCGTCTCACAGCACGCGAGTACTCTTTCGCGTCGCATGAACGGAGAATTACACACAAAATGATGTCGAATTGTCCGTTTTGACGAGTATTCACTTAGACACAGTTGATTACGGTTTCAAGGTATACCGCGGTTTGAAAATTTCACGGTTTCAAAACCGCAAATTTTTTCTGTTATACCGTTCCTGCGGTATGCGCTATTTTTCATGTCTCCTCAAAGACTGAAAGTGTAGGAATCCCTCAGGTTGAGTGCAGTGTAGAGAGTAACACGCCCCCTCCCCCTCCTGTTGGTGCGAGCGAGTGGTCAGTCACGTGTGTGTATGATATGAAATTATATAAATGATATGTATATGAATTACATAACTAAAATGAAATAACTGTAATTACAGATTTAGGATAAATAAAGATGTCAGTCTTTATTTTTCTTCTTGTTAGGACAGCAGTAGCTCTAGCAGCAAATCAACCATCCCAGCAGTAGCTCTAGCAGCAAATCAACCATCCACATCAAAAGCTGCAGGACAGCCCACATTTCAGAAACAAATCAAATAAAATAAACAAATACTACTGTTCCAAATATTCTGTATGTTGCTCAAAATATATTGTGTTCAGTTTTTTTTTTACCCAGACATTTCAAATTAACACATTTTAGAGCTGTAATAACAATACCGTGATATTTTTTGCTTAAGGTTAGCATACCGTCAAAATCTCATACCGCCCCATGCCTAATCAGTACATAGCATCCATTGCAGCTGTGCATTTGGTTTTAAAGGGATAGCAGCCTAATTTAGTTGCTATTGTCTGAGTCATTGATGTTCAAGCAACAAAAGAAAGACAGAAAATCATGCACTGCTCTTGACTGAAAAATTTTAGTAGCCCTAAAGATTAATCTAAATTTATTTATAGAAATAAATATGTCTGCTTGAAAGAATGAAGAATATGGTAAACAAGTTGCTATAAAGAATGCATTATTAGCCTATATAGCCATTGGTATTTCATTAAAAAGAAGACCATGTTCTTGTTCTTTATGAGAAGTGGTTTTATTTCATTTTAACATAAAGGCATGTTGTGTGTCACCGCAGTTAAATCGGTGTCTATCATGATAAAACCTTAATATCAAACCTATATAATGAGTTTGGAAATATATAGGTTATATAGGAATTAGAGAAATGCTTAATAAATGCACTGTAACTAAACCCATTATATTTTATCTGACTAAATGTACTGTAGATTTAGTCGACTAAAACTAGACTAAAACTAAAAACAATTACTAAAATGACTAAAATGACTGACTAAAACTAAATCACATTTTAGTCAAAAGACTATGACTAAAACTAAATCAAAATTTGCTGTCAAAATTAACACTGATCTAAAGCTACTTACACTTAATAACATCTGACTATCATTTACATTATTTACCATTAAAGATAATAGTTATTTTAACTCACTGCAAATTGGCATTTAAGGCAAAATAACATACTTGATAGTTGTGTGAACCCTGTAATAGCATAGCATTAATGCCTTATCTAATAATGTTCGAAAAGAGGCCCGCAACCTAGGTGTAATTTATGAACCTGAACTGTCCTTCGATGCCCAAGTGACTAAAGTGGTGCAGTCGTGCTTTGCACAACTGAGGAAGTTAACGAAGATTAAGCCATTTCTTTCTTTTGCAGATTTAGAAAAGGTCATTCATGCTTTTATCTCTTCCAGACTTGATTATTGTAATGCATTTTATTCTGGTATTGGCAGGCAAAACCTCCAAAGACTGCAGCTGATTCAAAATGCCACTGCTAGGCTACTAAGAAAAAGAGAACACATTACACCGATTCTTGCTGCTCTTCGCTGGTTGCCTGTGAGTTTAGAATTGATTTTATACCACTTGTTTTTAAAGCCTTGAAGAGTCAGGCTCCTGCCTATATTTGTGATTTGTTAACTCCTTATGAGCCTGATCGCTGTTTGATATCGTCTGGTAGGGCCCTATTAATGGTTCCAAAATCTCGACTTGTCACTAAAGGTGACCGCGCTTTTGCTGTCCGTGTCCCTAAGTTGTGGAACTCCCTGCCTGGGGATCTTAGGCAGGCAAGCAAGGTATCCTCTTTTAAATCTCTTTTTAAGACTTACTTTTATTGTATGTCTTTTTCTTAATCTTGATGGTATTTGTTGTACTGGTATATCTTCTTATTGTAAAGCACTTTGTAACTTTGTTTTGAAAGGTGCTATATAAAAATAAATAAATAAATATCACAGTATTTTTTATATATGCCTTGATACTGAATGATTATTACATCAACGTCTGCAGCTATGCTGCTACATAGCTGTTACTATACTGTGGATTTTACCACGGCTGTAGCGCTGTACTGACCAATAAGAACTCAGGACGGCAGATAGTTTTATAACTTCTTCTCTTCGAGCTAATCTCAAATTGATATTCACCCGCGGCCTTGTTTACAAAAGGCAACTTGAGCTATCTGACACCCGTAATCCAAACACAGTCAGTCTGTAAAAGATCGATCAAAGAGCGACAGTGAATCAAAAATAATGAGCGCGAGAAATGACTGAACAATCGTCACAAAAATAATATATAGTATATATAGTTACTATAGTGAGCTGTTCCCTGTCTTACGACTTATTTCATAATAACAGAAATAACATAACGACAAATACTTAATTTATTTTACCTTAAACAAGAAAATATAAAAGGTGCGCATTACAACAACAACAACAACAACAAAAAGTTTTTCTCACCATTTCAGCGGTTCTGTAGTCACCATTCACCGCCTCACAACTCTCCACTATCCCACAATGCACCAAGAATTCGCATTGTGCTACGTCATTGCCCGCTCCTGAAGTATTTGAACGCGTGTGGCGCGAGATATCAGGAATGATTATGATTAATAATAATAATAATATAAATATACTCGAGTGATTAGTAGAAAAGGACTGTCTGAACAACCAGGAGCAAAGCATAATGTAAGTTAGATATATAACATTTGTTAAACATAATGTAGGTGTATGAGTGATTGAGCCCGTTGAAGGAGTGACGTTTTTAGGGTTATTTGCTGAATAAACTGTAATTCCTCGTATATCATCGTAACTGCTTTAGATAATAATGTTTATTATTTTAATGCACGTAACTTAAACGGATGTTGTCAAAGTGTATTATGTGTCGATGTGCAGTAGCACAGATTTTGTAAAGATTATTTGAAATATTCTCCTAAATGATTACTTAGCCTATATTGTATAATGAACACAATGGATACAGTAATTTGTACCACAGAGTACTGTTTTATTTTTCACAATATCTAGTTTGTAGGATGGTTGTGATGATGGATGATAAAATAATGTGCTGGACATTTATCATAGCAACACATGATATGTTCTGATGTACTTTGGTGTTTGTGTTCTATGTAAATGTACATATAAAACTATAATCGTTAAATGGTAACCATTATGGTTAGCATCAAGACAAATCATTTTCAAATCATTTTTTGCTCACAAAAATACCATGCTATTGCCATGTTTTGGTAATGGTAATTATTCAGTATCACAGTACCATCTGATATCATCAAAGTACCATTTTACTTTCACAATATTTATAAGGGTACTTTAATGATATAGTTAACTTAGTTATCAATGCTGGAAGTATACTTTGTTTTGAATGTGTCTTCTTTATTCTTATATTTTATACCATAATGATTAACACACCATCTTGTGTTTTGTTATAGGTTAGTGCATATTGATGTGGAGCATCAGCAAGCCAGCATTCACAGTTGCTTAAATTGAAATGTCTTCTGAAAATTAGTTGAGCCTGCAATAACGTTAGAAGAACTGACTGTGTATTTCCTATGTCGGCTCCCCATCAGACCTCAGTAGTCAGCACCCCTCTCCCTTTACCCACCCATTTCTCTCATGCCCAGCAGTCCTTTTCACTAAAGAAACGGAGACGTCCCTTCTCTTCCTCATCATCTTCCTCCCTGTCTCCTCCGCGACCATTATCTCATTCTTTACCACCACGGCCTCCATCTAAAGGATGCCCTCCACTCAGTCGAGTGTTCCACCACCGCCCCACTCCGTGGACGCCCCTGTCACGCTCCCTTATAGAGTCACCCCCTCCTCGCTCTGTGTACAACCCATCCCGACCCCAGACCTTTTTCGACCAGTGCTTTACCAACCTGGGCCTGATTGGACGAGGTTCCTTTGGTGAAGTTTTCAAGGTGAGACATGCTAGATGCCATCTGAGGCTGTATATGAAATAGCTACCATCCTTTATATTTTCAGCAAGAATTCATATCAGCCACCATCTTTTTCTGCCAAATGTCCAGGCAAAATGTCTGGGCATTTTTTCACAAAATTGGTTTAACTGAAGTAAGTGTATTTATTTTTCAAAATGCTAACTAGACATGATCCGTTTAAGTAAATGTGAACTCCAGATGTACACTGAAACTGATACACATGAAATAGATGAATTTTCAGATAATGGTGATTTCTCAACATAAAGTAATATCAAGATTTATTTATCAACGAATACACTAATGGTACTGTGACCTTCATGTCTGTCAGGTGGTGAGTCTTTTGGATGACTGTCAGTATGCTGTCAAACGTTCAGTGCAGCGTTTCCGTGGTGAGGTTGAACGAGCAAGAAGCATTGCTGAGGCTTGGAATCATGAGGGACTGCACCCACACCCTTACGTGCTGGGCTTCATTGCGGCTTGGGAGGAGGCCGGTCACCTCTACATCCAGACTGAACTCTGCTGTACCAGCCTACTGCTATATGCTGAGGAAACGCCATTTCACACTGGTAAACAGCACAATACACAAGAAAAAATTGATCTTGGAAGATGTATGTTACTGATTCAAAGTTTGTGTGTTGTGCTAGGTGAGACAAGTGCCTGGATGTACCTGTGTGACATGCTTTCAGCACTTGACCACTTGCACGCTCATGGGTTTGCCCACCTGGACATCAAACCAGCGAATATTTTCATTACAAAGTCTGGACGGCTCAAACTTGGAGATTTTGGCTTGTTGATCAAGCTTCCTACAGATGTCCGGAAACAAGTGATAGAGGGAAAGAGAGAAATGAAGACAGAGGAGGTTGATTTACAGGAAGGAGACCCCAGATATATGGCCCCTGAACTATTGAGAGGGGAGTATGGGACTGCCGCAGACATTTTTAGGTTAGTAAATGTTATACTTAGTTATATTTAAATGCCAAAAGTAAGAACCGAATCAGTTATATTGTGATTTGTATAAAGAGATGTCTTTATTTTCTCCACTCTTAGTTTGGGTGTTTCTATCCTGGAGTTGGCCTGTAACATTGAGGTTCCTAAAGGAGGAGATGGCTGGCAGCAGCTCAGAATGGGTCACTTACCAGCAGAATTCACTAATGGTACTGTACATTATTATCACTTATGGCTAAGTGAAATGCGTAAAATATTTAACAGATGCTTACTAGTTTAACTAATTTAAAGCATTTTTTTTGTATCTTCCTAACAATATAATTATATTGATTAACATATAATTATATAAATTGTAAAAACAATAGAGTGAGGAAACATTTAGGTGAGATAAACTGTAATTTTAAGAAAATATGTCAAATAAATGTGTCTCTCCCACATACAAGGGGAAGAGAACAACACACAGCGCATGAGTACTGAATTGAGTACTTTCACGTCTTCTTGCACTTGAATGCTTTAAAATCGCTTTAATGTTTAAATTGGCAAGGTGTATTTGTCTGTTCAAGCGTAAGAAGACGCAAAAGTGAACTCAATTCGGGGCTTGTAAAAAAATAGTAACTGTAATTCATTACAGTTACGTCAAAAAACAAAGTAATCAGATTACAGTTACGTTTTGTTAAAAATGGGAATAATTTCATGATTACAATGGTTTCATTTTAGTGAGGAATAATTGACAACGGGCCATTGAATTAGAAAATAATGATCTTGCCACGAGCCACGACGTGAAGCATCAGACTAATGCAGTTATTAATGCAGTGAGAGAGAGAGAAAGAGAGAGATTAAGTGTGTGTGAATTGCCTCTGTGACTCTGCATCTCTCGACAGAGTTCAGCAGAAGCGTCTCTACTAATAGCCAAACTCTAAGTTCAGAATAGCGCCATTATTACCCTGCTAGTGAGAAATGTCATGTAGCTTTTTATGTTGCTAAAGTAATATGATAAAATCGTCAGAGCAGTGCTAACAAGTAACAACAAGCTTCTGTGCGGGTATGTGTGTGCGTCTGTATGGGAACAAAGCAGGAGAGAGTATGTGCTTTCCATACATAATAAAACATAATTTTGAAAAACATGGATATAATTTGTTATTTTTATCCTATTGTTTACAATAATTATTTGCTCAGTCATTGTCGTTATGGGTTTTGGTTATTTTCCTGCAAGGACCTTTGAAATAGGCTAACTGAAATCATTTAGCAAAGTGAAATGGACATGTACTAACACCATGTGGAAACAGAATGTCCGATGACCACATGGAGCAAGTCTTCTTCTTTCGTTACAACATAAAACATGAATTTGATCGATAAAACATGAGTTTTCTTCTTCTTCTTTACCTTTATTTAACCAGGAAGAAACTCATTGAGATTAAAAATCTCTTTTTCAAGAGTGTCCTGGCCAAGATAGGCAGCAGTACAACCATACATACATACAGGTACAAAATATAGTAACATAAAACAACTGAAATAGCGAATCCTTTAAAATAAACCACAATCAATAACACATCAGGCAGAACATTTACAGCCAGATGTGACTGCCTCCAAGTCTGTTAACATCCTCTTAAAAGCGACCAATGAGACCAGCGTATTAATTTTCATAGATTTCTGTAATTTCAGCATACTTAAACGCCTTTTTTTCCCAGCTCAGTTCAGTTCAACCTTTGGAACAGACAGAAGGAAAAGATCCTGTGAACGAAGATTGTAAGTCCCAGTATTATTTACACTGATGTAGGTCAGAAGGTAGGATGGAAGTAGACCTAAAATAGCTTTGTATATGAAGATATACCAATGTTGAAGTCTCCGCATTGATAGAGAAGGCCATCCAACACGTTCATACAGTTCACAATGGTGAGTGAGGACTTTAAAACCAGTGATGAACCTCAGAGCTCCATGGTATACAGTGTCCAGTGCATGTAAACTTTGAGACGAAGCATGCATGTATAAAACATCACCATAGTCAAGTATAGACATAAAAGTGGCAGCAACCAGCCTCTTTCTAGATTCGAACGAAAGGCAGGATTTGATTTTAAAATAAAACCCTAATTTAAGTTTTAATCTTTTTGCTAGCTGCTGAATATGAAAGGTAAAAGAAAGAGATTCATCTATTAAAATGCCAAGATATCTGTATTTAGAGACACATTCAGTCTTTGTTCCCTGGGAAGTGAGGATTGAAGGCAGATTTGATTTGGATTTCAAATTTGAAAAAAGCATGACTTTTGTTTTTTCAGCATTTAAAACAAGTTTTAAATCATAAAGATTATGTTAGAGCGTGTTAAAATCAAGTTGTAATTTGGAGAGAGCCTGGTCTGCGGTGGGTGCTGAGCAATACAGTACAGTGTCATCTGCATAAAAATGAAATTTTCCTTTAGACACGTTACTATCAATGTTATTTATATAGAGAATAAAGAGTAGTGGCCCCAAGACTGACCCCTGAGGCATGCCTTTTGTTATTTTGAGATAGCGAGAGGTGTTGCCCTCCGCCTGCACACACTGAGTTCTGTCTGTAAGATAATTATCAAACCAGCTGACAGTTTGTTCAGAAAGTCCAGCACTACACAGTCTGTGCTTAAGCACTGTGTGGTCCACTGTATCAAATGCCTTAGAGAGGTCAATA